ATTTTTGCAGAAGTCCAGGTGACAGATGCTGTGGATTGAAGAACTGGGTGCTGGCAGTGGAGAGGGAGAGAAGTGCGGGGGAGGCTTGTGGAGTCAAGGATGAAGATCAGGTTTCTAGTTGGTGTAAATGGACAGAAGGTGATGCCATTCATTGAGATGGGGACTGGAAGACCAGGTCTGGGGAAAGAGTTGTTTTTGACATTTTGTGATGGATTCCTGGAACTGCTGAGTTGATGGTAGATACATATGTCTAGACTTAAAACAGGGAAGTCTGGTTAGAACATCCAAGGGTTGATGGCTTACTGATGCTAATTGTAGCCCTAGGTGTGGAGGAGATTGCCTATGGAGAGAAAGGAAAGAGTGCACGGTTCAAACTTGAACATCTTAAAGACTTGGTGGAGGAAGATGAGCAGGTAAAGGACACTGAAGAGTGTCAGTGGGAGAAGAAAAGCAGGACTCATTGTCTCAGAACCCTAGTGGTTGGTATAGCCAAATGCTGCTGCAGTAAGTCGCTTCAAAGTCAGGCTGCAGCAGGTCCATTGATGAAGCGACAAGGAGGTCATTGCTGGACCTTAGTGAGTACTGTTTTGTTACAGTGATGAAAATAGACATTGCATAGATGAGACAACAGGGAGCAACATGGAGTGGAGATGTGGTTAGGACTCTTCCTAAAGAGGTCTGTCTAAGAGGAAGATCAGATTTCAGTTCTGATTTTGGCCCTATGTGTGCAACCTCACTTATGTCTGGTTCTCAATGTTAGAATCAAGAGGGTCTACTCCACTCAACGTACGTAGAATGATAAATATGAATGTTTTTCTTCCATTTTCATTTTTTTGTGTGTCTCTTAAGAGAATCTTGCTGATGGGGAGTCTAGTTTTAAAGACAATATACACACAGTTCTACATGACCTCCCCCCCGCACCCCCCGCACCCCCGCCAAATACAAACCAAACACTTTATCTGGTGTTAAAATTAAGGTTTGGACTCACCACCAAGATAAGGGTTACTATGTCCATCTCTTTTGCAGTACATTCCTAATGAATTTTCTGACTATATTCAATTCTACCCTAAGTACTGACTTTAAAATATAAGACACATCTTCACTTTTAATGACTAAGATCTTAAGTGGTTTAAATGATCCCAGAGCAGTAAATACTGGATTTGCAAGGAAGGTTCACTTTTTGCATCAGTTTCCTTTTACCTCTCCTTTTTAACAACTTATCAGTCAGCCACATTAACAAAAAGTTAAAATTAGTAGACTGTCATACTATCGTTATTGTCCCTAATCATAACCTCCTCCCTCTCCACCCCCCTGAAAGGAAGTGGCTGGAGTCAGAGAGTTAGAAGATTGCAAAAGTACCCAAAACACATTTTTGACATTTAGGTTCTGACTGAGAAGAGTAATTTGGTATTTGACTCAAGTGGCTCAAGCCCATTTGCCTCTTAGTGGGCAAAAGCCAGTCAGGGCAAATTTAACTGCAAACAGTGATTTCTACTGAATGAATCTATGTGATAGTATTAGAGTGAAGACTTGATGCAGAAAAGATGATTATTGGAGTGGGAAAGACAAATGATTCACTTCTTTGTCATAGTCTCAGGTCCAGCAATGGGACAGGCACACGACTAGGAGTTTTGAAGTTTCTTGCATTTGGAAACACAAATACATACATAGAAGGTGAAATCAAGTCTGAATTTGTGGGCCAATAGCTAGTCCGTGTAGAAGGACCTTTTTAGATGACTGTCAAGAACTACTGAAATTTTTCAGCACACATACATGCATACAGTGCTCTAGAATAACCTGAAAATTTGCAGGGGACTTTCTGGAGTTTGATCCAAAGTAAATTGGACAGTATAAATCGTGGGAATCATGATGCAAATCTCTGTAAGAAAAGGACTATTTCCCTTTCTTACAGTTTAACTGTTTTTGTATAGCTACCTTCACAGAGCATATTTATGTCCAAGAAAACTAATTTAAATAAGCTAACTGAAGTGAATGAATTATTCTGAAAGAAAAGGGAAAGTTTAAAATAACTTATTGTTTTTCACTAGAGCTTTGTTTACAAAAGCACACAATTACTGGAAGTCCCCTTTGCCTTAGTGCATTAACTTATCGTGAGAATGCTTCTCAAGTATTTTTATGATTAAATAAATGTTTAAAATAGTGGTGAGATACTTTCCCTTAATTTATTTATAAAAGTTTGAATACTTGTGCTTACTGAAGCTGTGAGACTGGAGAAAGCCAAGTTGGATAAAGACATACTGTCCCCCATGCCTGTCATTTGGTGCTTAGCACAAGTTCTAGTCTATTTTCTTTCATGTGGAGGCCATCTGGGAATTCAAAGCAGTCAGTGAGACTGGATAAGGTTGGGTTAAGCTCTCTGACCCCTCTGTTTCCTGGTCTGTAAAATGGAGGGACTTGGTGAGCTTGCAGGTCCCATCCAACACCCTATATAACCCTCTTCCCTTGAACGGGGGCCAAGGCTAGCGAATGTGATGGGGTAGCATTCCCATGATTCATGTTAGCTTATACGAGGTTGGACAATTAAGTTCGTGAACTCATCCTAGAAAAAGTGCTACATACATCACTGCTGAATATCACTATGGTCACCTTTGAAGTACTCCCCTTGGGAAGCTATGCACTGACGCCAGCACCTAGTCCACCCTTAAAAGCAATTTGGGAACTCTTTTTCTGGAATGGCCATCAGAGCTGTCATTGGGTTACCCTTGATGTACTGAATGGCATCAAAATGTCTTCCTTTCAATATTTCCTTTATCTTTGGGAAAGAAAGAAGTCGTTGGGGACTAGATCAGGTGAGTAGGGAGGGTGGTCCAATACGGTTATTTGTTTACTGGCTAAAAGCTCCTTCACAGACAGTGCCGTGTGAGCTGGTGCATTGTCGTGATGCAAGAGCCATGAACTGTTGGTGAAAAGTTCAGGTCGTCTAACTTTTTCCCGCAGCCTTTTCAGCACTTCCAAATAGTAAACTTGATTCACTGTCTGTCCAGCTAGTACAAATTCATAATGAATAATCCCTCTGATAGTAAAAAAGATTAGCAACAGCATTGCAACAAGTTTGCGAACTTAATTGTCTGACATTGTATGATGTTCTCCCAGGCTGTTCAGGACAAAGGAGCATGCACTTGTAGTTTCAAGGACCACTCAAACTGTCCCTCTAGAAAGACTTGAAAATGTGCACATACCTTGCCCCTATGGGTCAGGGAAATGTTCTTCTATTTTCTTGCCAGTTAAACCAATTTTCTCAAATACTTTAACATGTCTTACTTTGCATGGCAGGGGACATGATGAGTGGGGTAGGGAAGGGAAGAGAAAACTTGTACATTACAGAGAGGTAATTATATTCAATGTAAGGGTAAAATTATTATGAAGATGCAAAAGGTCCTATGTGATATTTTTATTGAATTGTTACAGATTTAAGGGGAAATGGTTACAGGTGGAATATTGCAAGATCAGTTCCGTGTGTGTGTGTGTGTGTGTGTGTGTGTGTGTGTGTGTGTGTGTGGCGTTTTGAAGGGGTGGTGGGTGCGATGGCTGAGGGAAACATCTGACGTCTTTCTCATGTTGGAAGGGATACTCCTTCACAGGAGTCAAGGCCTTCGAGCATCACTGGCCTTGCAAGTGTGTCCCTTGACCTGGGCACCAGAGTGAAGAGTGAGGGCCAAGGAGGCAAGGGTACCAGTATGAAGCAGGGAGGTTTGGAGAACTGATGTTTGTCTTTGAATGAGGTGCGATAGTCAGGAGGACCTACTCAAGTGTGCAAAGTTCCAGGAAGCTGGGATGGAAGGCAGTGGAGGCAACATTAGCAAAGCAGGGCCAGCCTCTCCGGCACTGCTTTCAATGCTTTACTTCCTCTCACGCTCCCATCAGTCACGCAAATTACTGCTGTGACTATCAGACTCACGTAGGGTGAGGAAACTGAGGCTGAAAGAGTTCAATGAACATGCCCAAGGCACACAGGGAGCAGGTGGCAGGGTCTTGCTTCACAGCCCTCACTCCTCATCACCATTGCCTCAGCTGGAGCAAATGGGAGGGTCCCCATTGTGTCCTCTTGGGCCAGGGAGAGAAGGGCCGCCCTATGCCTCTGGGGCCCACGTTCTAACATCAGGACACCTCGAGTTGCTGGTGAAAATTTAGGGGAGAAAGAGATGAAGATTGTTGTCAAGTAACCAGTGCTCTCCTACTTGGAGCTTTCCCCACAATCTTCTGTTTCCTAGAAAATGTGTCTTTTAGGAAAGGAGACCAGAGCTTCACAGTCCTGGGTAGGTGAGCTACTTCTTGGTACGTTACCCTCTGTCTTTATAGCTCTATTTGGGTTTTCTCTGATGGGTTTGTATCTCTACTTGTTTTTCAGTTTAGAAGGTGGACCTGCCCGTTCTATTTTTATGAAGAAGTAGCTGCCAGTTGGATATTGTGTCTTCTAGTGGCAAGGGGACCACACCGATAATCCCCAGGGCCTCTGGCCGCCCCTTCCCAACAACGTCGATGCCCATGCTCCAGTGCCTGCTTGCGGGGGCCACCTTCCATCCACCCATCAGCCAGGTAGGACTTGTCAGCCCGGCTTCCTGCTGGTTTCCGACATGGCAGGAAGGTGTGTGGGTATGAGGACGAGGGGAATCTGGGGCAGCTCTGGCGATAGGTTTCACAATGGAGCCCCAGCTATGACAGTGAGTCCAATGCTAAGTCTGAAGAAAACAGCTCTGCTGAAGAGCAGCCAGACCCTGACCAGGGGGGCGAGGAGACGAGGGACACCAAGGAGGGGTCACCTGGTAACGCCATTGCATCTGGAAGCTTGCAGGGCTGTCCTTATAAAAATGCAAAGCAGGTCTAAAAGAAATTAATGTGATCTTTAAAAGGTCAGGGTGAATCGGAACATTGACTTTCGAATGCTTGATCAATTAGAGACCAGAGACTTTTCCTAATGATATTTATTTCATAAATGTAATTATTTTTCTAAAACATATTAAAATAGAAAACATGTTCTTTTGATCAATTTATACAAAGAAAATACCAATATAGTAATAAAAATACTGAAAATATATGAAAAGCACCAGAACATTAGAGAAATTACACTGGCAACAATTCTAGGAATATATTTTTTTTGCAATTGTACAATAAAGTGCTATTAAATCCAGTCAAAGTTAGTGGCAAGATATAAAAAATTATGGTATTATTATGAAATTTGAGGCTAGGTTTACCAGCAATTGCATTTTTAGGCTACTTGCAGATCAAACTAATGGTATTCCATTAATGTTTTCATGCAAACTCTATTAATTTCCATCTTCAAGTGAAAACAATCTAAATCTAAATGTTGATTCTTGGTACTCTGTCATAAACAGGTAATCACATGATTCAAAATAAAATTAATTTTAGAGTACCAAAAATAATAATCAAATGTGATTAAATAAAATCAAGACAATAAAATCAAATGTAAATATATGTGATTAATCAAGACAAGTACTAAAGTTTAGATGCCTTTGATTTTATAGTTAATTTTCATTCATTAGTAACACTTAATAGACACACAAACATTAAGAAGATGTTATTAAATTCAACTGGCCAGACATCAGGGCAGAACATTTCAGTGAATGAACGTAATTTTCATATGAAACATTAAAGGGACACTGTTAGGACAATACATTTCCAATTTTGACTAATTATTTCCTCATTTATTTGCAGAGGAACAAAAAGCATACACTTTGGGATTAGATTAGATTAAAGGCACGAATTTAACATGTAGGGGGAAACCGCTGTGCACACACACAGGGAAAGGCTATGGATAGTACTTAGGGTGGACTGCCGTCACTTTCACGTCTGGAGGTGGCAAACTGAAACAGAAAAACCCAAATTAAGACCGAGTATCAGACCAGTGTCCTTTTAAGGTTTTATTTCTTAGGCCAGTTTTGAAGGGACTTTATTATATTGTTCTTCATAACTCTATTTTGGAACCATCAACTTCTCCAGACGAAAGCTGCCAACACTACACCTCAGGATAATAATAATAAACAATCTCCAAACATGGCTTAGTCAACACTCACAATTTATTTTACAGGTAGACTATTTTTTTCTTTCATATGAAGTAGATTTACACGTGGACTAACATGGACTGAAACTGGACATATTAATGAAGAGAACAAACTCATTTCATTAGGCTCTTCTCCTGCGAGGTGTTTCTGTTTAAGAATTTAGGAACCGTCCCGGTATTACTGTGACAAAGGCAGAGTATCACTGAGCCCTGGTCTGAACGTTTTTTATAGTTGGTCACGAGTTCGTTTTTCACTCTTAAATGGAGAACTGACACTTGAGTTTCGATTTTTGTTTTTTTCATCCTTACAGATACTCTTTTGTCAAGTTCCCCTTTCATGGCTGATTTTTAACAAGGAACTGAAATGTAAACGAATTATACTGCTATGCATCTCAAAAACGAACTTTTCCAAAAATTTTATGTAACTCCTTCCATGTAGAAAAGGGGGTGGAGATGGGCAGTGGAGGATCAGGCCTTTGTAATAAATGAAGCAAAAGGCTCAGGTCAGGGTCCGGCCATAGCGAGCAACGTGAAACTGCATGAGAGAGAGAGAAGGGGAAATGGGACCGAAGACAGCTACCCTCTGGACATCGCTAGTAGAATTCAAGGAAAATCCAAACACACTGAGTTTTCCCCATTCCACCTAAGTGAGAGTGTTCGTAAAAAAGCCCGAGATTAATAAAAGGCAAGGGAGACTGATAAGAAACAAAGGCAAAGGTGGTTTGGCATTGAATAGTTTTACATTCCAAAAGAATATTGATTAGCATCTGGAAGTCTTTCTCAAAATTACAAAGTCATGATTACAGAAATTACTCTGTGTGTTTCTTCCAATATACATGTCCTATATACACATAGAAAAGCTAGTAAGTTGGCTCAGCTATAATAATTATGTTGTAAAAAAAGCAGATTACATTTTTTGGCTGCAACAAAGCATGTCATACTTTTCAGTTCAGCTCCTATATATACATGATAAAACTTAAGCTTTAAAAGTATTCAAATCAAAAGGAAAAAAAATAAGTTATATCTAAACTATTAATTTACACAACGGATATGTCTTTCCTTGCTTTCATAACTAGTTATGCGCTCTTATCATCAATTTCTTCAGTGTTTCCTTATTCTAACAGTTTCTTTTCAAGACTTGTATCTGTTCCCCTCTGTGTTGCACATGTCCTTTTAGGAAGCGCAGATGTGTGACGCTGTTAGTAGCATGGTGGAGAAGTTCTGGGTCTTACTTTTTCCAACTAATGGACAAAAGAGCCATGAGAAGCACTTCTTTAATTGTACAACAAACACAACAAAGAGATGACAAAAGCAAGCGAGAGCACTGTTAAGGAAAGCAGCAGCTGCTGGAACCAGATACAACGCTGAACTTGGTCTTCAAGCTTTTTATTGCTTTCTAGTAAACGATTGAGCTAAAGAGGGAAAAAAGGATGAAAGATTTGTATCAATAAAACAGTATATTAATCATGTGGATGACAAACAGGAATATTAGAAACCCAAACATTTACAGGATGGGGTCCATCTACTCTGAAAGGCTGGGAGCTGGAAATGCAATGAGCAATTAGATTTGTTTGGTGAACAGACCCGTATCTGCTTACTCTCATTTTGAAAAGGTCTACTTTTCTAGCTGAGAAAGGAGCAAAGCAATCACTTCCTGACGTTCCGAAAACAGCTACTTAGAAAGAGAACCACCACCCCAACCTCTTTTTCAAATTTAAATGCACTACATGGTACACCTTCCAAGAGAGCCAATTCTTTGATTACTCCCCAAACCATGTGCTTTGCTATATGGTCCCTAGTTCAAATTAAAATGGCCAGAGCTTTAAAAAAGTTAGTAGATCTCCAAAAGTAAGTCGCTGCTTACCATTTCTGATCTGGCTTCCCTTCACAAAGAAGAGAGCATTTCTGTCGTATCTATGCCAGAGGTTTTCCTTATGTCAGTGGGAAAAAAGTGAATTTCTAATGTTAATTAGCAGTAACAACTTTGTTTTAGGAAGAACGAACACTTACTTGTAGACACATATCTTCACTGGTTTTATCTGACATGTTAAAAGCACCGTCTTTTAATGTAAGAGTGGTTGGTTTACTGCTCTCAACAATATGGCATCTTAACCTATGAAAATCCAAAGGAAACATAACTTCTTAAAATTTTTAATAAAAGTAAAATATAAAATGAAAAAAATACAGAAGTATATGTAACACAGGTGAAAGTACTCATTCTTCTCCCCAGACACACCTAAGGTAGCAGTTTAGTGTGTATTTATCTTTGAAGGGGACAGAATCTGCAACCCCAAAATATGCCACTTTAGCATAAGGATTATCTTGAGCTGTTTTTTTTTTGAGAAACAGCAGACACAGGAAAAGCTCTAAAAACCGAGTACAAGTTACCCTTTTGTAAGAGACATTTACATTTATCTAGGGAATCTTCATTTGTAAACATGTCTCCCTCTCTGTACCAGGACAAGGAGGAATAAGTCTCAAGAAACTCTTATCACTGGAGAAGGCAAGGACTTAAATCTGCATAACAGCCTCCCCCTGGTTTACTGAGCTTTGCCTGATAACCCCTCGCAAACTCGCTCCCCACCACACACACATCTTCTTTTGCCTTTAGCTGGAGATGGTCTGGAAGATGGTGGTTTGGGCCATTTGGGGGAGTTACTCGGTTTTCCTGGGTCTCTCCCATGTATACAGGAGGGACACACATTATTCAACTTCTGTTTGTTTTTCTCCTGTGAATCTGTCTTTGATTTGGGGTGGGGGAAGTCTCAGCCAAGAACCTAGAAGAGTAAAGGAAAATTATTTTTCTTTCCCTACAGTCTGATGACTTACTACGGGACCTGTTCAGACACCATACTCGCTTGGGAGCCTGCAGATTGGATCCTGAAAAACTGGCAGAAGCTGGCGAAGGGTAAGACTTCTCACCATCGTCAGCTCTCCTGAATCTTATTCTAGTGCCAGGCTAAGAGAGGAAGCGAAAAATTTGACCTGTCCCTTCCTTTCCAAATGTAGGTTAGAAGGAGAATTAATAGTGGGAACCAGTTCCTTGGGTATAGCAACTGTGGTAGAGAGTTTTGTTAGGAGTTGTCTCATTTTCTATTGATCCTTTTTCCTCTCAGAAATGGTCACTATTTTGTCTCTTTTGTGTCATTTGTAATAAGGAGAACCATAAGCCCACATGAGTTCTTCCTTTCGTTGTGTTCTGTCTTGAGAGCATGGCTTTGTGACCAGTGAGAAGGTTCTCTCTGGTCTCTGCCAGCTGGAGGCTGCATGTGTCCACACGCATCTGGCGGCCAGTTTGTGACACAGAGTGACAAGCAGCATTCTCTGACTGTGCCAGCACCATAGGCATTTGTCATAAGAGGTCCCGGTCCATAATGGGCCTTCATTGTCTTAACCTTCACTGTGTCAGAAGTGCTGGAAACATCCCATTCCAGTAGCACCTGCCTGGTGTCACGGATTAGTGGGTCTGTGACTAGAGGCATCTTGCTTTCTTGTGGGAAACCTGAGAAGCGTCTGCACTACGCCATTCTTACTGCTGGCGACAGTGACAGTTTTTGCTTTCTTATGCTAACTCTAGGAGTGAACGTTCTGATTTTGTGAGGATCTGTGTTTTTGAACCCTTTTATAGGATACCTCCTGTGTCCATGGTTCAGTTATTAAAAGGCTTATTGGCTGAGTCATGATTGAGATTAATATAAGATCCTACTTGTCAATGGCCAGATGATAGAGCCTTTGAATTAAAAAACCTTCTGTGTTTGAAAAAATGTTAGAGAGCTCTCATTCTAAAAAGTTGTCTTACTGGTATCTATGGAAAGACCACATTGAAAGGAGGACACGAAGGAGTATGGCGGCTAGCCATAGGGACTTCCTTAGCAAGATGAAATTACAAGGCTCTTTTTACCTTCACTTTCCAACGATATCTACCAAATGTAGAGAAGAGTTGAAAAGATCAGTGGCCATTCATTCGGTCCCTACTCACAGGGACCCTGATTGACTCTAAGGGGTCTTCTTCCCACCAATGATTATACCACAGTTACCCGACAAGATCTGCGTTTTGACACCTCCAGATTCTTGCATTGGCCTGGAAGCAGGGGTCTGCTATTAGCAACCATCTTGAGAAACTCCAGGTCTCATTCACCTGGGCACCCCACAGCCTCGCAGAACTCAGGGCCCACACCAGATGCTTCAGTGTCTGCCAAACTGTAGAAGGAAGCTATGCCTGCCATGCAGCCACATTTTTCTTTCTGAGCCTTCCCACCACACTGGAATGCCTGTGAGGAAAAAGCATACCTGTGCTCCATCACTTTGTTTCTGAGAACTTCTTTCCAGAACTGACTCAGTTCTGCTGGGCCTGTGCCAGATGACTGTTCCATTTCTGCTGCCATTATCAGAAAACGGTCTTGGGCAGAGACGGTTAAACCTGCATTCCAAAAGAGCAGCTTATTATATAAACAGGAATCTTTATAAAGGGTTAGCTCTGTGCCTTAAGGCATTATTCTGGAAATAAACATTAAGGAAAAATAAGAATATGGAACGATCATAAAAAGGAAAAAGACCTAAAAATGAGGACTTCTTTTTCGAAATTCAATTTCAACTGGTATCAGTTTAAACAATTTGAAGTGTTAAAAACAACTGAAATTGTTTTAATGCTGGGAAGGACTTTAGAGACGCATTTGCCCGTCTCATTTTACACGTGGGAAAACACACTTTTACAGTGCAGTGAGGGAACTTACCGACACTGCAAATTTATAGATTCTAGCCCAGCCCAGGTCCCCCACCCCGCCACACCCACTGTGGCCATCATGAGACAACTTACCCCCGTGGGGAGACACAACTATATCAACCGATGCACCAGGGTCACAGCTGCTGTTGCTGGGCTTGACTCGGTATTTTTCTGGAGCAGTTGTTCTCACCTGTTCATAAACAAAGTAGTCATATAATATTCTTTATGCTTTTTGGGGGAAATGGCCTAAAAAGTACTTTGAACAAAACCAGCAGTTAATAATTAATAACCAGAATTTACCAAATAAGCTTTGTGGTTATGCATAAAATGTGTCTTTAGCCACCAACAGGAAAAAAGCATCTTGACTATTTAAAAAAGTATTCACTTATCTTCGAAGTCCAATTGTCACTTAGACTTCATCTTAAATACAAAAATTACTCCATCTGTTAAATATTTATCCTGTCTGCTAATCACATGAATTTAGAACTCATGTTACAATAGTGTTCAGAAATGAAAAACAAAACAAAACAATAGAGAATCAAAGGACAGTCACACATCCTAGCGGTTAAATTTAAATAGATGATTTTAGGAAGTAATAGCTACAGTGTGGGGTGGTGGTAGACTCACTCTTGTTACACTTAATGCTCAGTATCAGGTTAGCATCCAGTATAAACTACATTCCTGAATATACTACACTAGGGGGAAATGCACATTTGATTTTATAGTTTTATTTCCCACTGTTATTATGAATTAGAGTATTCATATGATGAAGAGTGATTTTTCTTGGGATTTTTATTTACAACAAATGTTGAACTCTGGGATTAATTTGGGCATTAGCCTATTTCTCCAAATAAAAGACTGAAATGCAGAACCCAGGAAAAATTTCATGCCACATGGTTAAAACCAGAAGGTAGTATAATATGCTTAAAACATCATAAATAAAAACATTGTGCAAGTACAAAATTATCTTTCAATTACAATATGTCTAAAATCATTTCCCATGTCAAATTTTCCCACATAATTTATTCTCTTTCAGAAATTTACCTTAAATGCCACTATGTTTTTAGTTACATTTGTCAACACAATTAAAGCTTTCTTCTCTCCAGATTCTGTACTTCCAAAATATAGTTCTTCTGCTGGGCTAAGTGATGATAAAAATATAAGGCATTTGTATTACTCAGAATAAATGACAATGTAATCATTAGCTTAAAGAAAAACATTTTGTTAGTATTTTATACTTGTTTGTATAGAGATTTCATCAAAAAGACAAGATTACAAAATAATTACCCAATAAAAAAACAAATAATTACCCTATATATTCTATATTTTAATCTTACCGATTCAATGCACGCTATTTAAAAAGTCCTATGGTTTCCCTAAGATCAAAAGCAAAATCAGGAGGAACAGAGAGAGAACTAGGAAGATTCTGAATTAGTTCTATAATCAGCACCACCTCAAAGTGCATTTTCTTAAACTCTTGGGAAGGTTACAGATAATGATCAAAGTATAGATAGAGTTGCTGCTTCAATTTCACCTAATTACAGATGAGAATGGGGCATATTTTTATACACCAGCAGAGAAGGTCATACCTTAAAAAGAAAGATCATTAGGGATGTATTCAAGTAACAGGATAATTTCTTACTAGATGAAGACTTTTTTTCTATGTAATAGGGAAGAAGCAAAATAAACAGAGAAATAAAATCTGGGATGGGAACTGCAGGAAGAACTTGTCAAACAGTAAAATCAGTGAGGCTCAAAATGCAAATTTTACTATTCTTGGCCACGGTAATGCCTGTGCCCTAAAATGAAAACAAAAAGATTCCAGCAAAGCTTGTGTCATTTAATTACATTAGCCAAATTGTATCAGGTGCCCCCAAACAATGGGAAGGACCTTGTTTTTGTTTTAGATAAAAAAATAAATTGTTCAGATAGACCTTGACTTTGAGATACATCTTTAAATAGATTCATGTTCTACCAGGAATGTCTTCCCTTCAGAGATGTTTATGAATCTAGAGAGCACGCATTTTTAAGGAAATACTCTCCCAGGAGGCCTTTGCCCAGCTTTGGACAAGATGGTAAATGAGTATGGTTGCTGGGTTCCTTTTAGGACTCAGTCTGAAATATGCCACAGAAAAGACAGGAAGGTTTTGGATCTCAGAACTGCTCTCAGTAACCAGCAGAAAAATTGTGAGAAGCTCTGGGGGACAGACATAGGTTGGGTCGTTGGGCGTGTGCAGAAGTGCTGTAACTTTCCCGGGGCGGAGGCAGGGAATGGCAGAGCCCGAAGTTCCACTTTGGCTTTCTCTTACGGCTCTTCTGGCCGTACCTCGACATTTATAAGCCAGGATCTATGGTTTGGCTAGGCCTCCAGTGGAAAAAAAGAGAGTAACTTCCAAACCAGGAGAGGGAAAAATGGGAAACAAAACTCCAAAGAGGGAAAATGGCAAAGAAAACCCATGGAAAACAACATGCACACGTATTTTTCTATCTCTCACATACAGACACAACAAATTCAAATATAATGGTAATCAAAATACATGTAAACAAACTAATCTCGTCAATTAGAGAATCTCAGATTCCATTTTTAAAAACTCTGACTGTATTGCTTATAACAGACATATACCTAAAACAGTTACATAGAAAGGTTTCAAGTAATGGGATAGAAAAATGATATATTAGGTCATCTCTAAAGAAAGATGGGATAGCAGTATTAATATATGGCTAAATATTTACCAACCAAAAGCATCATTAGTGAGAAAGAGGTCTTTACATAATGATAAAGAAACAATCCTGAATCTTTTGGGTTGCATAACATAGAAACAAAAATACAGATGGGCTGAAATTTGGCTTTGGTAAAAAAGTATTTTTCTGGTTCAGCTTCAGCTTTTGGAAGGTCAAATTGATAAATGCCTACATTTCAATGTTCTTTCTGGCCTCTCTGAACTTGAGCAAGTCTAACAGTATCAGTATAATAAGAAAAATACATGTCATTCAGATTTATTGTGAATATATGAATATTTACTTTTATTACCTGTTGTGATAATGAGGGCCTTATAAACACACTCAATGGAATAAATAACAAAAAGGTAACTAAAAATACCCACTATGTCTGGAAACCAAGGTGAGTTTCCAGATAATCCTTAATTTTATATTTCCACAGTTTCAAAAATACTATAGAAGTTTTTTACTTTGCAATTTCCTCAAGATGGTCAAAATATGTTATAAAAGCATAGCTAATAAAATCTTCTACTATTACCTGATATGTAATAAGGGCCCCTTAAATACGCTCAATGGTTTCTTGAAACCTTTCATCTTGGAATCAACCTTTTCATTTTCTTCTCCTTTGGAACTAGGTTCGGTTAGGTTAACCTAAGACAAAAAAATATATATATATATGAAGAAAACAATTTAGTTTCACAGCGACAGTTGGGTTGGTCATTAGGTCAAAAAGGAAACATATTGATTCAATCCAAATTATAATCTTTAATATAGGTTTATTATATCTAAATTGTATATTTAATATATATTAACATTACATTAACATATCTTTGCATGCCTACTATAAATGTCACTGTAGAAAATATAACATGGGCCTTCCCTTAAGACTCTTTAAATTTATTCTAAATTATATTGGATTTATCTATCAAGCCCCTGATTACTCATAACAAGATGACAACAAAGTGCTTTTTAAAATATTAAATAGAGGAAGAAGATCAAGGTAAAGTTTTCAATTAATTACTTTTATTTCAGATAAATAAAAAATATTTTAGATACAATTCCTTCCTGGTGCATTTCACGAATTTTTACACAGCAGTAGGGAATTGGCCCATGCCATCCTTCCTCTTTCTTTTTACACACAAAGATGAGACGGACAGAAAGTTGTAAGTGAATTACCCACAATCACATAGCGAGCCAGTAGTAGAACTGGGGCTAAGCCACAGCTTTTGACTCAGTTTTATTCTTAGAATTACCTTTTTCAGAAGAGCTGTTTGTTCTTCATTAGAAGCTGTTTCCAAGGTTTCTTTGCCATCACTTTCTATGTCTTCCTTACTTGAAGCTTCATCCTCACTGGCAATAGGCCCATTTTCACACAGTGGGGTCTGGAAGTCATCATCTACTAGTGGTGGATAGCTATACTTGAAAGGATCCTAAAAGAAAAGAATTTTGGATCAGCCTGCTAAGAGGTGGGTAGAAAAACAATTCTCTTAGTAAAGTTAAAATCCATTACTTTGGCCAAGAAAACAGACTGTAGTGAAATTTAAAACCGGAAAGGGAAAGAGTAGTAAGTGGTGTGGGACCCCTGGCCAGCCATCTGTAAAACAACCAAACTGGATCTTTAGCTCACTCTTTACACCAAAAGAATTTCAGACGCATGAAAGCTTTAACTGTGTGTGCACGTGTGCATGTGCGTGTACATATGCATGTGTGTGTTTATTTTTTAAAAACCATGTAAGATCCAGAACAACACACAGGAGGATTTTAAAAAACAACAAACCTAAGTAGGGATAGCCTTTCTAAGCATAGCACAGAACCTAGAAGGCATACAGATATTCATTAAAAATTGAGCACACTAAAATGAAATTTGTTCTTTAAGAAAAAGGTCACAACTGGGAAAATATGCACCACACATATCAGAAACAAAAGACAGCTTTTGTTAATATATACAAATCAACAAGAAAATAATAACCCAACAGAGCAGGGCATAAAGGAATAATAGATTTCACAGAAAAAGAATGAAGACTGCCTTTTAAATCATTGAAATATGCTCAACATCACCTACAATAAAAGAAATGCAAATTAAAACTATAATAAAATATTTTTTACCTGAGAGTGGCAAAATGAGAATATGTGTTGGCCAGAATCTCGTTCAAGCAGTCTCACACAGCATTGGTAAATGGGGGGACACTCTCTTTAGAGGGAAATTGGCAACAGCTATCAAAATTAAAAACTAAATATGCCCACTGACTTAATGATTTTATTTCTAGGAGTTTGTCTCCTACACATACTGCTGCATGTGTGTACCAAGAGTTATTTACAAGGATCGTCACTGTAGCATTATTAGTAATGGAAAAATGATTAGAAAATAAGGTGCCTTCAAAAGAGAACTGATTAAATAAGTTGTGTTATATTGACACAATGGAATATTCTGCAATACTTCAAAGAATCATAGACCTCTATGAATCAATATGGTATAACCTAAAAATAAATGAGGTGGAAAAAAACTCCACAACATGTATGATATGTGACCATTATGTAAAAAAACAGTGGGTGGAATATCTCCGGAAGGAGAGACAACTTGGAAACAGTGACCGCCTCTGGGGAGTAGCAGTGACCTTGGGTGGGACACGTACTTTTCACCATACTCTTAGACTTTTCAGTCTTTGGTATTGTTTGCTGTTTCTAAAAATATCATGTGCTTACATTATGTTTTGAAAACAAAACAAAATTATGTTAAAAAATAGCAGTCCTAACTACAATTTTGACTATACTCCTGAAGAAATACCACTAACAACAAAGAAGGGAAATAAAATAACCTTTCCTACCCCTGAAAATAAAAATAAACTTTACTAAGTGCTATTAATTTTAAGATATAACAATTCTATGGGCAAAATATAAAAAAAAATGACAAACCAAATCACTATTTTCAGGGTAGTACTTGAAATGAACCATACTCTGTTTTTCTAGGTTAAAATGTGCAATAAGTCTCCGAATAGGAAAGCAGCAAACTTTAAATTAAAAGTATTAGTTCAAGTTTTTTTAATCAAAGAAAACAAACAAAAGGACATACATACCAAAACTTTTCACCTTTCTATCCCCTTGGTTCTGGTTGAATACAATTATGCCAGGAAGGCAGTATACAAGGTAGATTATAAAAATCAAATAATAGAAATATTATCAATCAAGTTAACCCAAAGCATACCAATTCCATAGGTTTCAGAGTTTATTGAAAAAGTCATTATCAATATGTTTCATTTTTAAACAGTATTAAGAATTTAACACATACCTACTAATCCTGGTCTCTTATTTGTAAGGAGTAAAATCATTTCCAAACAATCTTGATAGTACATATTATCTTTTAAATTAAAAAGATTGTTCAACAGTAAACAATTGGATGCAAACTAAAGATACATCAAAATTAATACCTTATGGTTATTAACTAAATAATTATTTATGGTTATTAATTTAAAAATCTATATCTGTAGATGCTGAAATACTATGCAGCCATAAATAAGAATAAGGCAGCTTGTCACATTGATTTGGAATTATCTCCAAGACGTATTGTGAGAAAAAAAGCAGGATGCACAATAGTATATAAATATACTGTTTGCTTAAGAGAGATGGGAAGGAGAAAGGATTACATATATACTATATTTGCCTATACATATATTACATATGTAATACAGTTGCTTATATAGGCAATACAGATCCCTGGAAATGAATTTAAGAAATGAAAATGGGGAGGGGGACAGGGTGGTTGGGATAGCAGTAGAAAGACTTATTACTGAATACTTGTTTCTGAATACTAAGTACTTTTTTACTGAATACTGAGTCCTTTCCAGTTTAGAACCATTCAAAAATAGCACTGTAACAACTTGAAAACTTAAAAAATGTCTGTAACACTGCACTCTATTTTGGGGTATCTATGATCTTTCTTTGGATGTTATGACATTGCTTTTCCTTTTTCCTTGAGGAAAGAATACTGCCCAAAGCGCCGTGAGGCAGTCTTGTTTTAGAAACGAGTTTCCAGTACTATACTTACAGTTCCACCCATGTGGGGAGGCAGGTATTCTACACTGACATAGTCTTGGACTTCATTTTTACTTGTAAACTTCAACAAACTCACTGCTTCTGGACCAAGCCAGGATTTCACAATTTTGAAAGCAGCTGGAGAAAAAAACAAGTCACTTCGTTAAATTCTTTTCATTTTCTTTCTCAATTAGTTCACAGTATGTGCTAACGCATGTCTTCTGGAATTAGTTGGGGCTAACATCTTTTAATATGGGTCTTTCCATGCCATGATACTTAACATTCTCTAATTCCTGTAGGCATTTACACTGTGACTGTCCCTTATGGATTTCAAATGTTCCATGAAGATTCAGGAAGATTAAATTACCCGGATATTCTCTAATAAACTTATCAGGGTTCTGGCCTCTGCACAAATCCATCAATGATCCCAACTACTAAGATTTCCAGACACTGAATCAAACAGCATTGTAATTCGGGGAATAACTGCATAATTGTATGGGGAGAGTCATTTGCCTTACGCTTCTGATTAACCCGCAATCTCAAAAACCTCCTCAAATGGGAAGTCAGGAAGAGAAGGAAGCAGGTCTCCTCATTACAGGTGTGAGCTAGACCCAGACTTCTTCCATCCTAACCCCAAACTTCTCTGCCTTTCTCCCAAGCCCTGCAGTTTATGTAACTGGGGGGAATTGATGGAGTCTGCAAGAATACATTGTTATCAAACCCAGCTGTTTACTAATTCCAATCTGTTCTGTCATGCCATTCTGATTTATACTTAATTTTTAAAACCTCATTTCCGTCATGACATTCTAAGCACATTTTAAAGAAATGAAAAGAGGAATCCTGCATTAAATCTGCAAAAGCGTCAATAAAAAAATCAGGAAATAAAACGGCATAATAAACATTAAATAGTAGTTCAGAAAATTACGTTTTTACTTTGGCTAATTATGCTTAAATATTTTTTACATAACATTTACATTTTCATTAATTTACATTTTGAAAGTGTGAGCTGACATGTTTAAAGTTGTGCTACTTGAATTAACTAAAGTGCTAAATCAGATTTTTTAAGAACAGGTTAATTGAGATGTAATTTACATACCATAAAATTTCCCTTTTAAAGTATACACATTAATGGCTTTTAGTACATTCACAGAGTTGCACAACCATCAGCACTATCTAATTTTAGAACATTTTCATCACACCAAAAAGAAACCCTACCCATTAGCAGTCTCCTTATCCTCTCTTCTTCCACTCCCTGGCAAGCACTAATCTACTTTGTTTCTATGGATTTGCCTATTTAGGACATGTCATGTAAATGGAATCATACAATGTGTTTTTTTCCCTACTGGCTTTGTTCACTCAGCATGTTTTTAAGGTTCATCCATGATGCAGCACGTATCAGTACTGAATTCCTTTTTATGGCTGAATAATATTCTCTTTTATGGATGTAAAACATTTGTTTATCCATTCATCAACTGATGAACATTTGGGTTGGTTCCACTTTTCACTACTACAAATAATGCTGCTGTGAACATTTGTGTACAAGCTTTTGTGCAGACATGTGCTTTCAATTCTCTTGGGGATATACCTAGGAGTGGAATTGCTGGGTCATATGGTAATTCTATGTTTAACTTTTTGAGGAACCTCCATACTGTTTTTCACTGTGGCTACACCATTTTACATTCCCACCAGCAATGTACGCAGGTCCCAATTTCTCCACATCCTCACCAACACTTGTCACTGTCCATCTCTTTGATTCTAGCCATCCTAGGGGGTGTGAAGTATCTCACTTGGTTTTGACTTGACTTTCTCTAATGACTAATGATGTCGAGCATCTTTTTATGTGTTCATTGACCATTTGCATATCTTCTTTGGAAAAATGTCTACTCAACCCTTTCACCCTTTTTAATTGGGCCATGTGTCTTTTTACTGTTGCACTGTGAAAGTTATTTATATATTCTAGACATAAGTCCCTTATCAGATGTATGACTTGTAAATATTTTGTTCCATTCTGAGAGCTGTCTTTTCAACTTCTTGATGGTGTCTTGAAGCACAAAAGTTTTAAATTTTAATGAAGTTCAATGTATTTATTTTCTTTTGTCACTTGTACTTTTTTGGTGTTATATCTAAGAAATCACTGCTTAATCCAAGGTCACAAAGATTTATTCCTATGAGTTCTTATAAGAATTTTATAGTTTTAACTCTTGCATTTAGGTCTCGGATCCATTGTGAGTTAAATTTTGTACATGATGGGAGGTAGAGATCCAACTTCATTCTTTTGAGAGTGGATGGATATTCAGTTGTTCTAGTACTATTTATTAAAAAGACTATGCTTTCTCCACTGAATTGTCTTGGCACCATTGTCAAAAAATCAATTAACCATAAATGTTAGGGTTTATTTTGGGACTCTCAGTTCTATTTTATTGATCTATATGTCTGTGCTTATTTCTACCACAAAGTCTTAATTACTATAGCTTTGTAGTCAGTGTAGAAATCAAGAAGTGTGGAAGTGTGAGTCCTCCAATTGCATTGTTCTTTTTCAAAATTATTTTTCCTACTCTGGGTGTCTTGCATTTCCATATCAATTTAAAGACAAGCTTGTCAATTTCTGTTAAAAGGGCAGCTGGGATTTTGACAGGGGCTACACTGAATCTGTAGATCAATTCAGGAAGTACTGTCATCTTAATAATATCAAGTCTTCCAATCCCTGAATAAGAGATGTCTGTATACCTAGGTCTGGAATATCCTTCAGTGGTGTTTTATAGTTTTCAGTGCATAAGTCTTGAACTTATTTTATTAATTTTATTTCTAAGTACTTTATTCTTTGTGATGCTAGTTATAAATGGAATGGTTTTCTTAATTATATTTTTGGATTATTCATTGCTAGTACATAGAAATATTATTGATTTTGTGTATTAACTCTGTACTCTGCCACCTTGCTGAACTTGTTTATTAGCTCTAATCAGTTTTTTTTGTGTTTGTATTTCATAAAATTTTTCCATATAGAAGACTGCATCACCTGCAAGTATAGATAATATGACTTCTTTCCCAAAATGAATGCCTTTTTTCTTTCTTTTGCCTCAATGCCCTGGCAATACGAGTGGTGAAAGCAGACAACCTTGCCTTGTTCCTGATCTAAGAGAGAAGGCATTCACTGTTTCACCACTAAGTATGTTAGTTGCGGGGTTTCATAGATGCCGGTTTTACATAGATGCCCTTTATCACACCGAGGGAATTCTCTTCTGTGTAGTGAAGAATTAACCTTCCTCAGAAAAAGGGCTGGCCTTTGCCCTGAGTTTCTGGGAGGTAATCTTCATGCCAGATAGGGGTGCCTTTGTCTGGGGGCCTTGGGTCACACTGGAACAATATGAGTTAGGGTGGGGGCTTTGCGTCACAGTGTCAGACCTTTGGAGATACTGGAGTCTGAGATAAACATGTGGTAAAGCAGTCAGGCCTGTGCAATGGAACCCCAGTGAAAACTCTGAACACCAGTTTGGGTGAGCTTCCCTGGTTGGCAGTACTCTACGGGTACTGCCACATATTGATGCTGGGAAAGTAACTGGCTCCACAGTTGGCACTTTCCTGGATTCTGCCTTATGTTTTTCTTTGCTTGGCTAATTTTAATCTGAATCTTTTCCCTGTAATAAACCATAACTGAGTATAATAGCTTACAGTGAGTTCTATGTGTCATTCTAGTGAAGCTGAGAGTGGTTTTGGGAACCCCTTGAACTTACAGTTGGTGTCAGAAATGAGGGCAGTCTTGTGTGGACTACTGTGGTCCCCCTAACTTCACAGTTGTTCTACTCTTTGCACCTTTGATTCCTAGTTTCTTGAGTGCTTTTATCATGAGACTGTATTGGATTTTGTCAAATGCTTATTCTGTGTCTATTGAGATGATCACGTGGTTTTTTTTTCCTTTAGCCTATTAATATGTTGGATAACACTGGTTGATTTTCATATGTTGAGCTAACTTTGCATTCCTGAGATAAATCCCTCTTGGTCATAGTATATAATCCTTTTTATATGCTGCTAGATTTGGTTTGTTAGTACTTTATTGAGAGTTGGTCCATTTATTCATAAGGGGTACTGGTCTGTAGTTTTCTTTTCCTGTGATGTTTATTAGGGATAGACACCTCATAAAATGAGTTGGGAAGTATTCCCTTTTCTTTAATTTTTTGGAAGAGTTTGCGAAGGACTGGTGTTGATTCTTCTTTATATGTTTGGTACAATTTACCAGGCCATTTAGACCTGGGCTTTCCTTTGTGAGAAATTTTTTTATTGCTAGTGTTTTCAATAGTTAAAAAAATTTTTTTAATCAAAAAATATATCATGACTCATAAGGACTATGTGACTATAGAGGTTTGGAGTAAATTTCAGATTCATTCCAATTTCTTCCTCAATATCTGAAGCCCATAAGAAAACCGAGCCAAGGCCCATGTATGAAATATCCCATCTGTGTGGGTGACAAACTAAGGCTTCTGACTGTAGTTTTGCCTGAATGGTTGAAAATCTTGAGGCTGTTTTGAGAGAAGGCTAGTGGGTGTCCCCAGGGCCTGGAGGCAGAAAGTTAGGCCAGCATGCTTCGGAACAGCCTTTGAGTGTTTTAGCTCTAGTCTAAGAGTGTATACCAAGCTCAATATAAGTATTTTTTTAAAACAACCATAGAAATATGGCTAAATTGGCAAAGAAAAAAGGAAACCTGACATTTTGTTTTAGAAAGTATAAGGAGTATACTCACCATTCATTATCCAAGGCATATCAAAGATCACTATTTTTGCTGAAAGATGAAAAGAAATTCATTGAGTGTGACTTAGTACCACTATAGTCATATCATGTCTACATAACCTAGACAAAATGGTGATCTAAATGTAACTAAAAAGTGAGCTGGTTGCCTCAGTTCTAAGTCACTGTGGTGAGGGGCTAGACCAAGAGGATGGCTTCTGGGAAATGAATAATGTACTATCGCTGTCGTTTGCCAAGTACCCTGTCCTTTTGTTTATTTATTGCTTTTGTCGTTTACAGAAAGGCACACAAGACAATAGTTAAGTGAGTAAGTGGAATCTTTGGATGTGGCATGTCATATTAGTGCCGAAGTCCATTGACTTTTAAAACAATTTCAACATCTAATTTATGGTTTCAATGATAATTTTCTAGAGATTATATTGTTAAACCATTCTCACAGTTGCCCCCATTATTTTAATGTCATTATATTTTAAGAAACAAAAATTGTTTCTACTTTTCTTAATATTATGAACTCCAGGAAACCAATAATTCCAAAGAATACAAAAGTATTATTTGCATACTTAGATGAAGATATTAAATAGCCCTATTAACAATTGTGAGAAAGAACCAGAAACCACAAAAGGGATTTTTGATATCTAATTTTGTTTTCATTCCAGAAGAATTAAAATGTAATTTCATTCTTCTCTGAGCAAAGAACCTCCTAGAATGATTATATTAATCTAGGACAGTGAAGTACATGTTATGAAGAAGGTCTCTGCAAAGAGGTACCATGGTACTTAATACTATTAAGAAATAATTATATTTCATGACAGAGTTTGAAGCATAATCAATTTAAAATTCTACAAAATTCAATGCCTGCAAAACTACATTAGGTAGGTAGAATATAAACATTATCTCTAGTTATTGGAATGAATGGTATTTCAATTCACTTTAAGCCATGAACTTATTAATAGTTTTCTCAGAAAGATCTTGGATGTGTTTTTTAAGATAATAACGATAATACTATTTATAAATGGCTCTTTGCAAACTCCATCAGATATTTTATTTCATTTTGTACATTAGAGAAACAAGCTAATAATATGGAGTAGTGATTCCCTACTGAACACTGACCGGCATTGCTCAGCAACTTTATTGGATCAGGGTACATGCCAGATCCAGGAAGAATTCAGAAGGAACAGCAGACCCTACCAGGGTCCCCAAACCAGAAATTCTCTTTACCTAAAAACATTCATGAGTGCTGTCTCTGAAGACAGGATAGGGCTAGGGGTGGCACTCTTCCTTGATATTCATAATGCTTTTTGTCTGTTCCTCACTTCACACTAAGAATGATGCATAAGCATGCCAAAGTAAGATGATTTATGGATTTTATGCTTTAGTGTCACCTGAGTCACAAGTCCCCAAAGAACCTAATTGTGGTATTTGCCAGGGGTGTGCCCAGGCAGACCTGTGAGTTTCTATTTTCTGATGTCCCTGTTGCCTCTTTTCTGTCTTTTCACTTTCAACCCACTTAAGTTAAAAATATTTCTGTTTACGTGGGATGGCAACTTCATTTCTCTAGGGGGAAACCATCACATAAATCCAATAAATCAAAAATGAAGAAGATTTAGGAGTTCTTCATTCAAGTAATTAATGGAATAATCACAATTAAAAACAAATTCCAAATGCCAGATTCAAATGTAGTTCATGACAGTCAAGAGTCTTCTCTATGACAATTGTTAAATAGCAATTACTAAGAGTGTATTTTACGTATGAGTGTTGCTTATCAGAGTACACTTTATCAATAGTGTTTATCTGTTTCTTGTATATAAGAAGTTCCATATAATAAATATTATTCTAAAGAAATTTCTCAATTGAAAGATTAGTAAAAATGAGATAATCTTGGAAATGTATGTTTTTATGTCCCTATGTATATGTTAGGGTGTTGTATATACCATTTAGAACTTAAACTCTTAAAACTAACTGTAAACCACAATGATTATTTATGAAAAATTTCCCCTATACCTACTAGGAAATGCAACTAAATGTCTATGAACACGTTTTTAGGCTCTGCATCAGAAAACAATGTTTTAGTTATTAAATTCCATAAAAATATAAAGCTCCACAATTCTCACACATTATCTACAGTTTCTACATATCATATTTTTATAAAGAAGTAAGTTACTTACAGAGGTATTTAGGGTAATAAACCTTAAAGCAGTTGATGATAAAGCGTACAAAATCCATGTCCTAAAATAAAGATTACACAGTGAAATCTTTAAGAATGTCCCCATTAAAGGTGATAAATTATTAAATACAAATGAGACAATTATTAACTTCTTAAAAAAAGAAGCAATTACATAAATATATTTATTCCCAAGAATTAAGGTTTTAAGTCATTATAGCCACTTTTAATTTAATAATCAGTCCTAAAACTGAGCTAAAGAAATCAGAACCTTAAATATCATTCATGTTACCTCAAACTACAATAGTTAGATATTCAGGCTGCTAAGATAACATGGCATTATAAAATGGATTTAAAAGCAATCTCCATTGAGAAAATCTAAAAATCTGTTAAATAATTATTGAAACACATTTATAGTTTACAACCTGACTACCTGGAATAATAATACATATGTATATAAATTCTGGTATATTTGCTTCTTAAAGCTAATTTCTATACCTCTAACAGCTTCAACAGAATGCATTTTATTAGTCTTTTATATAACAGTTAATCTGATCATATGGACCTGCTATATCTATTTCACTTCTAGCTTCTTTCCTTTTATTTAGGGACCTAGAATTAGAATTTCTTGGTTTATTTTCAAGTGTTGTTCACTGACGCCAATTTCCCGGAGACTTTATAAAGAGCTGTCTGGTTGGTTTCACTGCAGTGAACACAGCAACATGAAATTAGGTTATTAGGGTTACTATTCACATGGATCATTTCACTCCATGTTATTCCATGGCCACAAGCTGACTTACTAATCCTGATCAGCCATTTTATAAGGATTGTAAGATGAAAGATACACACACACACGGTGCCAAAAAAATATATACATATTTTAATAAAGGAAAAAACTGTATTCAAATTGTAATAATATATACTGATAACAAAATATGAATACAAGTCATGTGTACACATATTTTGGCACCTCCGGTATACACACACACACACACACACACACATATATACAAAACCAGGCAAACTTAAATCCATCAATTACCGAAAGGTGGGTTAGCATGTGAGTTGAGCATGTTTAACTCCAGTAAACAGAAAGTAAGCATCCTTAACTATCTTTATTATGGGATAAATCCTAGTATAGAATTCCTTTATAACTAATCTTCATATCCACTGTGCAGAGAGCTTAATAATTTGTAGTTAAGTGTCAAAGAAATACCTCAACATAACTAGTTATACATAAATTTGGTTACCTAGTATATGATCTATGGCCCCCAGAAACTGCCTAAAAAGTCTTCATCCAATAGTCTTGTTTTCATCTTTTATGTAATCGAATATCCTTGCTTATAAAATCCCAAGTTACTACTGATTCAAGTGGATTTGAAAGGATGCCACTGGTGTATGCATTATTAGTGGGCTCTAAATAAAAAAGCTCCATGGAACTATTGGTCTGCATCCTGTGAGGATCGCTATTCATTACCTTACAAAATGTCCTCCCTTTGAGGACTCATGAAAAACTTTTCTCTTTAGTTCAAGTATCAGGAATGAATACACTTCTCCTAAGATGCTGGTTTTAAAGTATGGCCTCTGAATAATTTTAAATGATTGCATTTATTTTACGTAGGCAGCTGAAAGCTCAGAGACAAATCAGTGGCCCAACTCTTTAACAAATAATTTTTAAAATGTCTTGTCTTGTAATTCTGTATACATCTTTATAAGCCAACTTAAATCCTTTGTGATTCATGAGGGTTATATGTAAAAATAATTCAATAAGATTCAAGTGTTTTAAAACAAAATGATTTAAATATTAGTAAGGCAAATAAACTTTATTTACAAATTAAAGATGAGATAACATATAAGTAACTTGAAAAAATTCAAACAGTTGGAGTCAATTCTTTGCCCAATATTTGGCAATAAAAAATGTTAACAATTATTTTTCATGATTATGGGTTAATTGGCAAAGTATTATACATAAAGGATAACTATCATTTATTTTTATTAACTTTTTTTAGGCATTTAGATTAAATTTGGGGCATAAAATGATTTACTGTGTAATCTAAAACTCAATGACATAGAAACTAGATTGAAAAAATCCAGGGCAATGGAGTCTTAAAATATAAATAGATATAGAAAAACATCCGTGGTTCTACTGCCCAAAACAACTCATCTCTAGTTCTTTCTAGCAGTTCTCTCTAGTCTATTTTTTGTTTGTTTTTTCAACATCTAAGGTTTTTCTTTTGGGGGCTAGGTATCACTCTGAAATAATACTGTTGCCTTTTTCATTAAAAAGGTATTTTCCAATATTACTACAAATTCTTTATAAACACCATTAAACATACTCCGTCAATTAGATACACCATCAATTACCATTTCATTTCACTGTACTGACATACATTTGTTTAATTTTTCACTATTTTAAATAACACTCTGAAAAAACATTTTGGTGCACAATGCTTTTTCCATATTCAGGATTTTTTCTTCAGTATAGATTCCAGAAATTAGTTATGAGGCCAAGTATGAATGTGAACACTAAAATTCTTAACATACTTTGCCAAGTGGAGTTTCAAAAAGGTTTTAACACTGTTTCAGGCAGGTGTGCAAATGCCACTTGACTGCTACCAGAATTAGTCAGGGTTTGAATATATGAGACAACAGCTCTAATAAATGCGCTTACAGATCCCCATCACTGCTGAACAGTTTGTAGTTGCCACTCAGGTCACAAGGGCCCAAATTAAAACTAGTAGGTTTGACTAATTTTTTAAACTTGGCAAAATCACCTGGAGAAAATTGGTTTCCAGTTTTCTAGAATCCAAACAAGTAAACACAAACCCCAAGGAAAGCACAAAGTGCTGTATGTGCAAGGCTCAGGTGAACATCTCGCAGCTGCAAAACACGGTATGAATGTAATGGTACCATAGACAGCAGACGTTACTTTCCTTAGTATTTACTGAGTGCTTTACGCTGTGCCAGGCACAGGGGCAGGTGCTGGAGGATGTAAGCTTGGACAGAAAAGCTCAGTGACCACATGTACTCAGTATCCTGCCAGCCTCCACATCCTATCTCTACATCCTGTGTGTCAGACAAGGAACAGTTCTAGGAAATCGACAGTTTCAGGGCCAAATGCTGAAGTGAATTTCTTTCTTTGCAAATCTTACTCCATGTTTGACTTCACTCACAACACGGGAGAGCGGGGAATAGATCTCAAACATTACTTGGTTAGCTGAATTTTATAGCAATATTTGGTGGGGGAGGAGTGGCAGGGAGGACAGGAAGGAGGGAGGAGAAACAATGATTTAGAATGCAAGAAAAATGCTTACTATGCTGTTTATTCCAGTTTCTGACAGGTCAAACATCACTGTTATAGGTTTCCCACTTTCTCTTTTAGCATAACGTTCCAGCCAGAATGCGATTAGCTTCTTTTTGTCCAATATGGTTTTATGATCTTTTATATGATACTTCACCCTGATCCAGACTTTTAGCAGAAAAGGAGATAAAAATAAGAAAAATGTTTATGGCATTATAATGTTTTATACATGTCATTCTCTCCCTTTTCATTTTTCTTCATTTATAGTTCATTTTGTTTCTCAGATGAAAACATCTCTTCCTTTTTTAAAAAATGAGAAATAGCATGCACTTGAGGACCTCAAAGAGTAGCAGAAAGTTAAACTATTTTCCCCTCCCCCTTAGGAAATAAATAAACTTCACTAGTAAGTAAGGGGGAAAAGGAAAGATAAAAGAACACGCCGTACTTGGTAATAAGAGCACTCTTCACTGTGTTTACCAAAAAAGAAAAGTCATTGGTTCTGTGGCACAATAGAAAAAGTACTCCTTCCAGAGGAAGAGCCTGGACAGAGGCACCGTGTAGGTGTGAGTGGGTGTTGTGCACGTGGGTGGAGTGTGGCAAGCCGTTGAGAGTGGTGGCAGCTACGACAAAATGTGATGAGAGGTGAAGCCAAACAGAGACAGGGCTGGGCTTCCAGGGCTCTGCATGCAATGCTAAGGCAGTCTGATTTTCCTGTTGATGACATCTCTCAGGCAGCAGCATAGAGGGGAGACTGGACAGAGAAGGAATCCCAGCAGGGGATGCCCTGGCAAGGTGCTGCGGGGCAGGGGTAAGTGCTGGTGAAAACGGATGGGGAAGTGAAGCTGTCACACAGAAGAGCTCATGGTTGCTGGCCTGAGCTGGGCAGCACAGGGGCAGAGCAGGGGCTGGGACTCGGGCGTTCAGCTGTGTGTTGTGTTGACGGCAGCCGGCTGGCAATCCATCTGGTGGCACCAGTCAGTGGGTAGCTGGGCATGTATGTGCACGTGGCCTGGGGACCGCGAGGGCTCAGCCCTGTTTGGGGGGAAGCAGCTGAAGCTGTCAAGGTACGCGAGATCACGCAAGGAGACTGTATCAGCTAGAAAGGAAATTAGGCCAAGGAAGGAATGAAGCCAGGGCAGCACTTTGAAGGGACAAGTGGAACGACAAATGCGCAAAGAAGACTGAGGAGGAGCCAGTGACAGGAGAAGGCAAAGAGTACTGTTCAAACAGGAACACACCGCACGCCGCAGAAGGCGAGCAAGGCGTGCGCTGACCATGCATGAAGCTGCCTGGGCAGGAGGTCTGCTCGGAATGCGGCTCTGACTCTCCCGCCGGGCATCAGCCTTGGTACGAAACCAAGATGGATTTGGGGCAATGGGGAGTGAAGAGAGTTGTTGGGATGGCAGGGATGCGTGTGAGTGTTCCTCCTGCTATCACACAGATTGAGGAGGAACAAAGGGGACAAGCCTGGGAAACTTGAAAAGAAAGACATCCATGTATCAACCCTTAGGGACTGTCAAAATGATTTCCACGAAAGTACTGGATTGAAGTTTAATGTCACAGTCAAATGAGAAAGACAATAGTGACTCTGAATTACATACTTGGGCTGTGTTAGGGGCTGCAGCATTTGCCTTTGCTGCCTGTTTGATTACAATGTAGACAATAGTATAACTACTGAGTAGGTGATGCTCAGTCTAGATGTCCCTAACAGTCCCCAACTGGAGGAAACCTGCCGTGTGCTACATATGGAGGAAGTGCTGCCTATTACTAATTCTGTTGAGACAGATAAGTACATCTCGAAATCTTGAAAAGTCAGCACATAAATTCAATATACTTACGTAACTTGTTGCCTTCTTTGTCATAACCGTGAAGATAAATACCACCAATTTCCAGTAACCATCTGGGAATGGAGGATTCAGTCAGGTCTAAAAGTGATAAACTCTGATGAGTAATTGTAACTTAGTGGCCTTTTTAAAAAGAAAACTCACAACGTAACAGGTACTGTTATGTAGTAGCTCTGATATCAAAAAGATAAAGCTTATTCAAACATCTGCAGAGAACGCCTGGCAATAAAATAGTGTTTCTTACTAAGTAAACAAACTACATAAAGACAGATGAGAGAAATGAAAAAAAATTCATTGCCCTTTGACATGGTAGCCATTATTTATGTAGACACCTTTCCACGTTCTGGTTATGTTTCAAAGAATGACTTGCAAACAAATATTGTCACTGTTGGACAATTTCAAGAGAACGTGCCTGCAAACATCTACATTATAGATTCAGAATTAATGAAAAAAAATCACTATGGTTTCTTTTGCAAAATAATATTTTTCCACAAAGCTTGATATCCAGTAGAGTCTAATACATATTATAATCTTGGGGCAAGTGGAAACTACTTCAGGAAAAAATGCTACCTCCTTTAGCAAGAGGAACAAAAGGGGCCTGTCTGGTCTCTCGTGAGGCCGAGAACAAACAGAGCAACGCAGCAAGTGCTTTTATTACATTTGCCAGTAGTTCCCCAAGAACTTTCAAAGACTTCTTTTTCTCCACCTTTTTCTTTAGCTTATATCTGCTGTCTGCCACTAGAAACAAGCAATTCTATGTAAGAAAATAACTATTGTTAAACGTTTATTCTGTCCTTAAGTAATTTAGAAATATTAGATTTATATTTCTTGGCTTGAGTAATAAATGCTTCACTGTTTGTTGAAATTACCTAGCGTTTTTACATTTCCAATCGAATTATTTCTTAAATACTCCCTTTCTGATGGATTCCTTCTACAAGTGTGAGGCCTGGGGAGGGTGTCTGCTCGGTTTATTTGTTGACTATTTTGTATTAAGTCTCTAGACTCAGTCATTCCAGAGTTTATATTCCTCAAGGTCAGGACATTTTTTATACCTCATCAAAACCAGCAGTTACGCCAGTTTCTTGTTACATTTTTAGGATGAGAGATAATGAATAACCTTTTCTGAGAAGAGTGCTTTATGTATTTGAAGACTATTATAAAACCTCCCTCTAAGATTTCAAACTCCCATTTTTGGAGAAAATTTCAGTCTTGAAGTAGGCCTTGAAATGAAGCCATTCAAAGAAGGCTGCCAAGGCATCCATGGGGATAAGCTTGCTTTTGGGGGACCTCCATTCAATGATTGTATATATAACACCGATTAGCACAAGGACCTCTGGAGATGGAGAAAGCCATAAGGCAACAGCTAGAAAAACAGGCACAGTATCTCCTTCACTCTAGGCCTAGTAGCACAGATGTTGTCTTGCTATTGTTTAATGGTACCAAACTAACAAGCACACATTAGGAGATTCTGCTGTGAGTGAACAGTTAGTGTGATTCTGCTTCCTGGTGATCTGATGTCCTCACGAATGATCCGACTTGGAAGACTTACTCATATGACACTCCTTTCAAAGTGTTCTTGGGTCTGTATAAAACATTATATTCTGGCGTTTGAGATGACTGCCAAAGATATTTGCAAATATACTGTTAGATGGATGTAAAACAGTAACATTTATGCAGGGGATAGCATACCGTCAAAGCTAAATTGAACAGCTTACCGTGGACACACATTTCTTTCCTCCACTGAAAACTCTCATCGATCATCTTCAGTGTGTCATCTACAACATCGTGTCTCCAGAATAAGTAACTTTCAACCCAGTTATCATCTTGTTGTAGCCTTTCAACATCACGTGGATCATATTTATCTGGCTTATCTAGGGAAAAAAGAGTAATAAATATCCAAGTCAGACAGATTGTACAGTGAGTAATAACAAACACTAATGCCAAAGGAGAAGAAAGACCCGGAAGACAAAGCAAAACTATTTGAAGATAGACACAGGGATGCAGTTGAGATGAAAATGCAATTTAAAGGACTGATGGAATTTCTAAGTCTGAGGAGAATAAAGTTATCTAAAGATTGCAGATTTACTTTAAAAAGCCACCATAGATTTAAAAAATAAGACCACAGTAAGATATTTTGCACGACCCTCTCTAAAACTGTAAGCCAACATCTGGGAAGATCAATTGTGTTATCTGAACTTGAAATCCTTACCCTAGTCAATGAAAAATGAAATTTTATATGTAAAGAACTAAGTTGTACTTTAAACGACATTTGTTTGGCAAGTATCATTTAAAAAAATGAACAAAATACAAAATGGAAACTGAGCATGTATGTAGCAGTTAACATTTTTAATAATTTATTGGCATAATGGTTTTCAATAATAATTTCTCATTATCAGCCGACATACATGGTATGTTCTTACCCGTCTGTGTACCTGATACTCCTCTTTCCACACCCTGCTCTCACTATTTTTCTATAACTGAACTTTCCTCGTCTCCTCACAACCTTTTCTGCACTTCCCAATTCTACCATTCTACAAGACTCCTTTCAAGTGCTTCCTCTTCCATAAAATGTCCCCGGAGCCCAGAAGTCATTCCTTCCCACCTGTGAACGCTACAGGACTTGAACCGAGCCTTTCTTACGACACTTAGCACTTTTCCCCTTGAGTCAGAGTTACTGGCATGCATGCCGGCTCTTCCCATATGGGGACAGTAACGACACTGTCCATCCCATCTAAGAATTCCCCAAAGCCAATTATAGCAGTTCCAATGAAAAGGCCTTCAGGAAGCATTTGCTGAATGAATGTATTACTTCTCGCTTTTTATTTTCTCGGTTAATGGTATCCTCCCAGGGGACCTAGCAGGAAACTTCAGAAAATTCTCTGGCTCCTTCATCTCCATTGTTTTTCCATCTAATTAGTTGCCAAGTTTTATAGATTCTATCTTCTCCTTTGCTCAGCCTTATTTCAGACTCTCAGAGATAATAGCTTAAAGGGCAAGAGAATATAAAATACATTCAGAGAATTATCTTCTTGGAGTCTCAATTTCCTTATCTTTAAGCTGCTGTAGATACTCACAGGGTTGTGCAAGGATCAGATGTATATATGCAAGTACTTGGAAGTTTAAAGCACTATAAAATATAAGATTAGGCCCTAAAACATGCATGTGTAGAGTGTTATCTTGGAAATGCCTTTCAATATCTGGGTCCTATTTTCCTCATCTATACAATGAGTGGTGCTGTAGTAGGTAAACCTTGGGGAATGTTTTTTAGCTCTGCTATTGGAAAATTCATCAGTATTCAAAACAACTTTAATGATACATTTTAAACAGGAGTTGGCTATAAAAGAGTTTACACGGTTTAGCACCAAGAGAGCCCCTGGGAGCACCTGTCCCCTGAGGAAGCACCATCTCCACTGGACCAACATGGTGTTTTCCTTGAAATTACAGGCTGACTTCATTCATTTTCAAGAAAATGTCTGCCAAACACCCACATCTGAATAACCACAGTTTACTTTCCAGTTGTTCTTTCAAATAAAAGTGGTGGTCTATACAAAATATGACTAATTTAGCTGGTAACCCAAACAGGTAGAAGTGTTTAATGCATACTTCCTGATTTTGTCAGGGGAGGAGGGTGTGCACAGATGTGTGTTCTGATATCTTCAGATACATTTTGAGTGTCCATCTTTAGCTTCTTCCTGTAACATCTGGACTTACCAAAGGCGTACTTTTCTGAAAATTTCCTAACACTTGAGGGTTCAGTTGTCTGGGGGCTGTGTTTGAATGCAGCAAATTGTTTTGTCATAAGCACACTGATTACACTTGGTCTTGTGGTCCCAGGCCAAGTTTTCCTTACCTTGAATGCTCAGTTTAGTTTGTTTCTCTGTCTCATTCTTTTTCTCCCCCTTAGGCCTCTTCTGCCACCACTTTTTGCCTGCCCCTCTTCTCCCAACCTCACAAGACCCCTTCCCCAATCCTGTCCTTCCCTGTATTTTCCACCCCCATAAGCCTACGAGGGACATCATTTTGAAAGACTTTACCTCTTAATGATGAAAGCATAGAGATCAGGAAGAGATTAATTTTGAGGAGTAGAATGAAGAAATAAAATAGAGTCACTAAGTCAAGCTGCTAGATTACTGAAATTGAGTAGGCTGAGGCATGAAGAAATGATTCTCTTCTTGTTCTAACTAGCCTGGGAACTTAAACTTTTGAACTTTCCAGTCCTGTGTCAATGCCTGGACCTCCAGATAAACCCTGATTACCCTGTGAGGGACTCACGTATCCAGACCACCAGATGTGACCAGACCTCCTGGCACTCATCTTCTGGACCACCTGGCACCCATCATCCAGGCTTCCTGACATCTGACTGACAACTGTCCGGGACCAATCCTAGGGCTAAGAGTGCAGGACTGATTCATCTCAAGCATGGGACTTTTAGGAGCTCTTTATCTTTTCTTTCTTCTTTGGAACAGTTCCGGGTTTTCGCCTAGCTGTGTTCCCAGTTTGCAAACTCTAAGACACTTGAATAAATCTCTGTCATTTATTTCTAGTGAAAGCCTCCAGACTCTTTGAGTTCGTTTGACAGTATTATACACAGATATGTATGCATATGTATATACTCTCATAATATGGTATCCTTATTACATTAATCTTGCTGTGGACCAATGAAAACTTCATCATAAAGCAACATTAGTCTCAAGTGGTGAATTTTTAAGCCTCATCCTTGCCTTTCTTCAAAATAGCTCAAAGCTCATTTTGGCCACTTTGTTAAGAAATCTGAAGCACACCTGTGGTTCATTGTTTCTTTCTACTTTTTTTTCTTATATGACTTTTGCTCTGTAGATTGGTCTTATATTTATACAATGTATGGCCATCAGACAAATTGTAAAGTTCATAATTTAACAGGGAAAGAACTAAAGTTAAATAAATGGTAATGGTGATTCACCTCTGCAAGGGGCAGTACTAAATGGTACAGAGTAAAGATGACTTCTCTCAGCTTTTCAGCTCTCTGTCTGCTGTGCATGCGTGTGCACCGACACCCCCCCAGACACACACACACACACACACACACACACACACACACACACACTGTGTCTCACATGTACACCGTCGAAAAATTTTAAGTGTTGCAACATAAAGAAAATAGAATTGTGACTCATAAAACAGAAAATTCCATTAACTTTTTTTTCTCTCTTGGCCGGTGAAATGACCAACAGGTCAGAAACTGTGTTTTAAGGTTAACAAATACGAAAAAATGTCTAGCTCGATTTAGGATACAGGACAGAGTGATGGAACCAGAAGACCCATGCTGCTACTGGATAGGGAGACTGAACACGTGACTGGGCCTGATTTTCTTCTCTGTAAAATGGAGATAAGGTCTGTCTACCCACAGTCATGAAGATCAAGGACACTTTGAAAATGTTCAACACTATACTAGTAAACTTTTATTTAAATAAGAATGCGACCCATGAATAGAAGACTAAATTCTAATTGACCTATTAATCAGTTGAGAAAATATTGGAAGTATATTGTAGTTATTATCAATGTGCCTAGAATTCAGATAAAGGTTGAAAAAAATACTGACGTATTCTGATAATGAAAACTAGAGACTAGTTATCAACTGGGTGTCATAATGTTCCAAAGTAGCAAATATACAACTCTTGACTATTATAGTAGTTTAAAACCTCTTGCTTCTTATTTCTCCAGCTCTCTAAGCATGGATGGACTTAAAGTTCTGGTGGGGCCCTGGCTGGGCATTTGCATTAGATCAACCACTTCTATTGGCTGGACTGTGTAAATGTCAACAATGGGAGTGGATGGGAGGGATCAGGTGCCTAAACAACAAAAGAGTCCTTTTAAGGGCATCCTCTGTTCATTGGCCAAACCTACCCTGCCTCTCCACTTTCCTGTGAAGCTACCTGGTGAGAGACAGAGAGGCAGGTGATCTTTTAAGATGGGATTAAGCCACTGGCCTATAGGAGTGATTCTCAAAGTTCAGCAAGTATCAAAACCACCAGGAGGGCTTGTTAAAACAGGGATTGGGCCCCACCCTTAAGAGCCTCAATTCATGGGTGGGATCTGAGAATCTGCATTTGTAGCAAGTTCTCACAGGATGCTGGTGCTGCTGTCTGGTGTAGGGACCACACTTTGAGAACCACTGGTGTATTGCAGGGGTTGGCAAATGTTTCCTGTAAAGGGTCAGATGGTAAATATCTAAATATCCTGGACTTTGAAGGCCACATATGGCCTCCATTGCTGATTCTTTGTTGTTTGTTGTTTTTAGCAACCCTTTAAAAAGACAAAAAAAACCGCAACATTCTTAGCTTGAAGGAGTACAAAAACAGGACTTGGCTGACCTCCCCTCTGGTGTAGAGAGGGGAGGTGCTTTTCTGCTTCAGTTCCTAGACTTCAAAAGCTGGCTTCATAGGCTGGATATGCAAGAGACATAATAGCTTAGATGATATATCGCTCTGCTCATCTATTCAGGTCTTCTTTCCATGTTTTTGAATAACATTTTATAATTGTCTCCATAAAAGAAAAAAGTCGTACATTTCTTCAGTTAGATTGTTAGGCAGTTTAGATCTTTTTGTGTTTGCCATCACAAGGCAATCCTGACAAGATCGGCAAACCTCATACCTATTATTTTCCTTGCCATATTGATATAACTGGGTTACTTTATATACTGTAGAATTGTATACTAGTGGAAATCACTATCTTTTTCCTGACTTTATGGGAATTATTTTGAAGTTTCACAATTAAACATATCATTTTCTGTAGGTTTTTAGAAGATACACTTAAAGTGAAGAAAGTTTTCCATGTTTGCAAAAAGTTTTGTTTGCCTTTTTCATCAAGTTGAATTATAGCCAGTGTGGTTTCT